AGGGAAGAGTCAAGATTTAACACAGCAGGATGGAAATCTTCAGATGGCTATTAAAAAATGGGATGAGGGGCGCCTGGGTGGCTCAGTCGTTAGGCGTCTGCCTTCGGCTCAGGTCATGATCCCAGGGTCCTGGGATTGAGCCCTGCATCGGGCTCCCTGCTCAGCGGAGAGCCTGCTTCTCCCTCTCCTACTCCCCCTGCTTGTGTTCCCTCTCTCGCTCTCTGTCAAATAAATAAATAAAATCTTTAAAAAAAAAAGGATGAATAAAAACAGATATTGATGGGGTTGAAACAAAAATCTTAATGTAGCATGACTAGAGGTTGGGTGGACATGAGAGTTACTGCTGCTCCCCAACATTAAAGGGCCCTAAACAACTCTGCTGTATTTACCCCAGTTTAGAGAAATTTTAAAAGCCAGAGGACAAAGAAGACAGTGAAAAACCTGACCTGAAATTACCAGGGGTGACTGACCTATAAATTAATCAAATTGAAGACTGAAGGAGAGGCAAGGGTCTTCTGGTTCAACCCCCAACTGGAGAACCAAGGTAATATGCACTTGTGTGGGTAAAATAGCCAGGGAGTGGATAAGAGACATTTCTGGGACTCCTTAACATGACAGCCCAGTGCACTATAATTCTAAAATCTGTTGAAAGTCCTAATGGGGAGCTACAATTAGATTGGGAGGAGAAGCAATAGTTAACAGGATGAAGGTAAAAATTTGGATGAAAGTTGGAATGTCAGAACAGACTTTCTGTGAAGTGGTAACATCTCCTTTACGTGACTGTATTATTGGGATGGGTATTATGTCTGACTGGTACTGTAAAACAGAAGGCATATAAATAAATTCCACCTTAAGGCCAGTCTTGAGTAGACATGCTAAAATGAGAACCACTGAAACTGTCTGAGCCCACAAAAATTAATTTGAGACAGAATTCTCTGAATAATAACAATGTATATGTAGTCTGTGAAAAAATGTATATGTAGCCTGTGAAAAAAGTGGATGGCTCATCAAGCCCTAACAGTAGACTATTATAAAGCTTGAATAAAGTAGTGCCCCATAACATCAGCAGTACCTGATATGATTTCAATAGTAGAAAAAAATACATAGTAGGCTAAAAGAGAATGATACTCAGTAACTGACCCTGCAACTTTTATTTTTCTGCCTTGATCCCCTCAAAAAAGCCAACAACAATTTTCCTTCACATGGAAGGATCCCAATTTATATTTACTATATTGCCAAAGGGTTACTTAAATTCACCAGCTTAGTGGTATAAGGCACTTAGAAGGGATACACTATCTTGATGATACCATGATAAGATCACAAACTAAAGATAAAGGTACGATTGACTTAAATGCAAGAAGGACATATATGATCAAAAGAAGCTGTTAATAAATCCACCAGGTCCAAGGACCTGCCCAAACTGGTAAAATTCTTAGGAATAACCTAGTCAGGTACAAACCTTGACACTTCACAGGTAAAGAAAAATAAATTGTTTTTGCCACCTATCCCTAAAACTAAACAAGAAGCCCAACATTTGGTGGTATATTTGAATTCTGAAGGACACATGTTCCACATCTGGGAATATTAGTAGCACCAATCAATACAACTATCCAAAAGAAGGCTGTATTTGAATGGGATCCTGAACAAAGGTAGGCCATATCTCAACTGCAAAAAGCAGCCGGTCTCCCGATGCTCTTGGGCCCCTATGACACACAGCTGGACATGATTTGGGGACTGTCAGCAACACGTATTTATGTGGACTAGAGCTTATGGCAAAAGCCAATGAGTGCCACTAAGCAACAACCATTGGGATTTTGGACCAGAAAATTCTGGATACCATGCTAAAATATATGCCACTTGAGAGAAAATTACTAACTTGCTGTTGGGCATTAAGTGAGACTGACTATGACTGAAGGACATAGTATAACTCTGCAACATGAAACACACACAATGTCTTGGGCAACAGAGAACATTCTAGTAAGGAAGTCAGTGCCCATGGAGCCTGGATGGCTCAGTCAGTTAAGTGTCTGCCTTCAGCTCAGGTCATGATCCCAGAGTCCTGGGATCGAGCCCCGCATCTGGCCCCCTGCTTGGTAGGGAGTCTGCTTCTCCCTCTCCCTCTGCCGCTCGCCCTGCTTGTGCTCTCTCTTTCTCTCTCAAATAAATAAAAGGAAGGCAGTGCCTAGAAGAATTCTGTATAAAATAGAAATGGTTTGTTCAGGAACATATGACCAGCAGGATGCTAAGAGTTATTTATTGTATTTATGAGCAAATAGCCCCTTTTTCCCCTAATGATGACTTTAAAACCACTCAAGGTTTTAAATCATATGGGCAGTGCCCTATGAACAGCTAGCTCTCTGAGAACCAAAAAACAGCTGCTTGGTTGTCAACTACACTTCAAAACTGAATAAACTACTAAATTTAAATTTAAGAGAGAGAGAAGGGATGCAAACTATTTGGTTCATGGATAACAGTTCCAAGGTGAACAGACAGCATCCTGTTTAGAAGGCTCTAAATTGGAGATGGTAATAACAAATCATATCGATGAGCTGAACTGCATGCTATTTTCCCACCAGGGTTTTTATTGAACTCTGCAGTTGATGTCAGAAATGAAGGTAGTCTTGTGGGCTGTTTCCTAACTTTGTATAGATGATGAAGAGAAAAGACTAGTACGATTCAATAATGTATGCTATATTGAACACTTGAAACTTTAGCTATGGGGCAACCACTGAGAAGTGTTTTTAAAGGGGAGTGAGGGATGAGGAGGGACTCTATTTTAGCAAAATAATCCTGGCAACAATGTGGACAGAATGAATTTGACAAGGTAAAACTCAGAGCAGGAAGATCAACTCTTAAGTGTGCTGTAGTAATAGGAACCTAGGGTTTTAAAGTGCAGGGACAGGGGCTCCTGGGTGGCTCAATCAGTTAAGCATCCAACTCTTGATTTCAGCTCAGGTCATGATTTCAGGGTCATGAGATCAAGTCCCATGTCAGGCTCTGTACTGGGCTGGGCGTGGAGCCTGATTGAGATTCTCTCTCCCCCTCTCCCTCCCATTCGTTCATTCAGAAATAGACAGATAGATGAAAGAAACAAACAAACAAATAAACAAACAACAGTGCAATGACATGAGTTCTGTAAGAGTCTATCCTGGAAAAAATACAGTGTGGGCTAAAAGAGAAAACATTCAAGAGATGATTAGGACTTGAAACTAAGTGGCAAAGGAAAATGGTAAAGGAAAAAGAAGGATCAGGCAGGGTTAAACTTTGAGGGAAGGACAGTTGAAGCTATTCTTTCATGGCAAAAAGGATGCCATCTTCCTTCTCTTTTTGCTCCTCACCAACAATTTAAAAAGCGTAAGTAACCCAAATGCTCAAAGATCTGACTGACTGCAGCTGTGAGAATGATCTAATGTCTTATTGAGATTATTACAAAACAATCAATGGTACAATTTGGCCCTAAGGTAAAGGCATCTACAAGATTAGTCACTTCAAGTGAAACATTAGCCAACTTGCAGGTAGGATGAAACATTTGGGAACAAATTATGGTTACAAAAGTTTACAGTAGCAGTTCTAAACAAATGTTCTATAGAACAGTAAAAAAGAACAAAGATCAGGGGCGCCTGGGTGGTTCAGTCGGTTAAGCGACTGCCTTCGGCTCAGATCATGATCCTGGAGTCCCTGGATCGAGTCCCGCATCGGGCTCCCTGCTCGGCGAGGAGCCTGCTTCTCCCTCTAACCCTCCCCCCTCTCATACACTCTCTCTCTCTCATTCTCGCTCTCTCAAATAAATAAATAAATCTTAAAAAAAAAAAAAAAAGAACAAAGATCATTACTTTTATGTGGTCATGTCTGAGAGAGTCCATATACTCTGTCTGTATCTATATACCATATGGAAGAAAATGAGCATACAGGCTTAAAATAGATCCAACTGCCTGTATTCAAACCCAGGCTCTACTGCTTACGGTGAGACCCTGTACAGATTACTAACTTACAGATTTCTGTAAGTAGGCTCCCTCATCTTTAAAACAGTCATGATACCAATACTAACATTTCATGGATAGCTGGTGTGAATTAAACAAACATGCAGCATTCAGAAAAGTGCCTCACACAAACTACGAATGCAGTAATTGTTAGCTATTAGGATTAATGTATTCCCTCTTTAAGAGGATTCTAACAAATTTCAATGAACTTAAGGAATTAAAAGCACTAAGACATCCTACAGTTAAGAAACACATTTAAATGTGGTTAATCCAACTTAACCTACTCTTCTTTGGCAGGAGATTCATAAACCTATTTCCATCAAATCAGCAGAAGTATTGTAAGAACACTTTAGAAAAGGCTGGACTATGGGTAAGCAAGACCATCTTTTAATCTATAATACAATTTAATAGAAACTGGAGGGAAAAAAAAAAAAAGAAACTGGGAAATTTGCTGCAGGACTGTTATACTCCTGACTAGAAATTTTAGTACATTTCCACAAGAGTTCAAATGTAATGGACTGGTTATAAGCGAATACTATTGAACTCTGAGGGTACAGTGGGGTTGAAATAGAAAGTTATGTATTAAAAAATTAGTAACTTTGCTTGCATAACTTACACAGTTTGTAGAAAAACAAGGGATTTATATCGAACATGAAATAAGTACAGTTATGCTTTGATGTTGAAATGTGTATCAGCCATACCTGCAGGAATTTTTAGATTACAGCATAGAGCCTAAATAACCACAGTATACTTGAAAAAAGCTTATCTGAATCAGAAGCACAGCAAATAAATAATGCAACTCCTTTCTTCCAAGCCCAAATGTAATGATACATTTTTAACAAATATTCATAAGATAATTATATATGAATGTGGAAACCATTAAATAATTCATCAGAAACATATCTTGAAGAAATAAAATATATGAAACTGAGAAAATGCTAACAAAACTATGGATTAAATAATAATTAATTTTACAAAACATTTTAAAGATTTCTTGTTATGCAATTATGACTTCTGTACCTATGTTCTTTGTGTTCCAATAGCTGACAGTCTCTACATGTCAATCTATCACATGTTTCACAGAAAAGCTTCAATTGTTCTTGTTTGTGTACAGGGCAGAAAACAGGGCGCTGACCAGATGCTCCAACAGATTCTGCAGTAAAATAAAACACATATTTTTTAAACTAAAAATTGTTATTTAACTTTCTAAATTCCCATTAATATTGATGTCCAAAGCATATGAAGAATAAATAAAAATGTTATGAGGTAAAAGAGAGAGATTAATAGTATATTAATCATTAAAACTGTTTCTATCTTACCTGAGACATCTTCTTTCTTCCTGATCAAGTGATCTTTAGTGAATTTTACTCTTTGATGTGCTTCAATACATGTCTTACATAGCCACTCTCCACATTCTACACAAAAGCCAACTGCACTTGCATTGTCTTCACAACTAGTACATACCTAAAAGAGGAAATAAATAATTTACATCAAGTTTACAAAATACAAATCCACAAAATAAAAACTTTGACTTGCTCTCAAATATACTAAATGACTAGAATAAAATTATTTTGTTCCATTTATCTTCAATAAAATCGTGTTCCTTCCCAATCAAACATTCAAGTGAGTAAAAATCTAAGTCTGAGAACACAAAAACTACAGACAAGATTTGAATTTTAAGTAATGACTTTTCATCTCATTCAATTAAATGAGGATATAGAATAAAGAGCCTTTACTTTCAACTGGAAAAATAGAACTATACCTGAACTATCCTAAATTATGTAACTATCCAAACATATTTTTCTTATTATTTACATTTCAATATCAAGATAAGAATATAAAGAAAAATTGAGAAGCATACCTGTTCTGATTTCTCATCAGAACTGCTAGGAGCTTCAGATGTATCTTTCACAAAATAATTATCCACAAGGTCTATCTGTCTGCATTCTTGGCGGCATACTGGGCACCGTATTACACCAACTACAACACAAAACAACAACATTAAAAAATATTCCTTGGGAAAAAAATAAGGAAATTGTGCATGATGCCCATATGGAAAGCATTCATTCATATGTCACAAACAAGATCAAAGAAATGAAGAACGTTAAGAGCTCAGTAAAATAATCCACTGAGTTACTCCTTTGGGGGAAAATGATACCCTATTTAGGAAGAGAAAACAAGCATTTATACAAAAAAAAAAACAAAACCAAAAGTGCTTTATTACAACGTATTAGTCAAATAATGGCTCCCAAAGATATTCAGATCTTAATCCTTGGAAACTGTCAGTGTCACTTTATAGAGCGAAGGTGACTTTGCAGATATGATTAAATTAAGGCTCTTGAGATGCTGTCCTGGATTATTTGATGGGCCCTAAATGTCATCTTGTAAGAGGGAGACAGAGGAAGGTTAGGCTACAAAAAAGGAGAAGGTGGCGAACAATGGAAGCAGAGATTGGAGTCATGTACTTTGGGGATGAAGCAATAAACTAAGAAATAAAAGTGGCCACTATAAGCTGAAAAAGACAAGGATATGGATTTTCTCCTCAGAGCCTCTAGAAGGAACCAGACCTGACTACACTGACTCTAGCAGACATCCTGACTGTAGCCCAGTAAAACTGACAACAGTAAAAGATTAAATGTGTGTTATTTTAAGCCACCAAATTAATGGCAATTTTGTTACAGCAGCAATAGAAATACACAATCTATCATCTAATAAATTCTGATTTGGTTCAGAACTACCTGAATTCATTTTCATGTGGGAAGAAAGATCACATGTGCCTGAACGGCCTAGTGATCTAGCATCTATTAGAAGAAATAAACCTATGGAAGTTAAAAACTAAAAAACAGCAACACAGTCAACACAGCAAACGAACTACTATGTGTCAGCCATAAAACTGAGAATATAGCATAAACGATACAATCCTTACTTTCAAGAAAGAGTTCAAGACTAGTATATAATTTTTATAGTTTATACCATGTACAACTATAGACTAGGATATAAACAGAATCCCCAAGAGTTTTAAGTATACAAATTATAGAACCTTATACAGTAGTTCCAATGGAAAATAGAAACTTAAATACAGTGTCATTCTAAAAGTAGGAATATCAGGGGGCATCTGGGTGGTTCAGTCCACTGGGCATTCCAACTCTTGATTTCCACTCAGGTCATGATCTCAGGGTCATGAGGTCAGACCTGCACTGGCTCCATGCTGAGCATGGAGCCTGCCTGAGATTCTCTCCCCCTCTTCCTCTGCCCCACTCTCTTACCCCACCCCCGCTCATGTGCACACACACTCTAAATAAGTTAATTAATTTAAGTAGGAATATCAGTCTCCCAGTAGACATATACACTGTTAAACTCAAAGTTATATGTTTGAAAACAAAACATAGTTTTTATTATACAAAGTACAAAGATGTTGCTCAAAGGAAATACATAAAAATAATTTTTCAAATCAAAGGAAGAAACACTATGGGAAAGAGAAAGGAGGAAAAGGTATATAAATATTTCCATATTTGAGATGGCATTGAATTACAAACCTTTCAAGAAACACAGAGTATAATAAAACCACAAAGGAAGTAAGTATAAGTAATTGTAGGAGCAAAACTATGGGAGCAACTAACTTCTTACAATAAATTAAGCTTTCACTGAAGAGATCACACTTAAACATGGTCTTGAAAAATTAACATTCATCTACTAGTGTGCAGGAAAGTTTACTTTGCTGACCTTGGTTCTTCAAATCCTGTACATTCCTAAGGAAGGCCTATCTCCAGTACTAGCCCTCAAATGGCTCCTGTGACATGACCTCTAACTCTTGGAATATTCTACCTGATAAGACTGTTTTTGTATGCTTGAGGCCTTGGGCCATGCTGTATTCAGTTTGACCTCTGAGGGTAGCTAGAGTCTCAGTAGGTGGTGTGAGTTCTACGGAGAATGCACCCCTTTATGACCATTCCCCAATAAAAACCTAGACATGGAGGCTCAGGTAAGCTTTCCTGATTGGCAATACTCCTGCATATTGTCAGACATAGTTACTCTAAAACTAAGCATCCCCCTGCGCAACTCCACTGAAAGGAGACATCTGGAAGCTTGCGCCTATTTTCTCCTGGACTTCACACCAAGCACCTTTGCTAATTTTAATCTATTTCTTCTCTCCTTCTAATAAAATGCAACCATGAGAGTAAACATTTTTCTGTATCAATCCTGTCAGTCAATCACTGAGCCTGAGGGTGACTCCAAACTCAACTAGGAAAGGAATAGTATACAAACCAAGAACAGCAAATGCAAAGTTCACACATAAAAAAAAAAAAAAAAAAGGCTATAAAAAATAGAAAAAGGTCCACATATACATATGTGAAATATTGAGGAAGTTAAGAAATCTGCAGCATCTAAATGAAGGAATATTTTTGTTGAAGGATACAAAAGATGGAGAGATAATTCTGTTCTGAGCAAGAAACAATATTATAAAAGTGTTCATTATACCTGTGTAAAGGATAATTTGATGCAAGTCTTTGTTTTTTTGAACCCAATAAACCGATTCTCAGATTCTTAAAATTACTTCAATCTGGCAAGCGGACATCACAGTTAATGACAATAAAAATTCATCTATATCTAAGTATTATTCCATTAAAATAATATTAAGGAATTTGGAAGATAAAAACAATATCCAAAAATCTTAAGGCAAAGGAAGGAACAGAGCACATGAATCAGTATACATGCAATTTTAAGAAATGTAGAAGCAAAATAATACGAACACTGCAAAAGAAACCCAACCCACAGTACACGAGGAATGGAAACATACACCTCAGAAAGACTCTTATTTTCCATAAATATTTTCCTGTGTCAATGGAGAAGCACTCTTGAAACTCGGAATTCAGAAATTTAAGGCATGAAAGAAGTTCCAATGAGAGGGAGTAAGTTCAAGTCTATAGATATCAGCAAACCCCATTCCTAGGCAGACTACTTAGACCTGACAGATTACCCAGCAGCCAAGGTATCTTACCACTAAAACAAAAAGAGTTGAAGCTTCTTCAGGGATCTTTTTGCTATCTGCTTCTGTATTTATTCAATAAATTTAAAAATTACATAAATGTTTGCTTTGAAAATAAGAGCCTACTGAAACTCCAGCCACCCTCAGAGGTCTCCCCGCTGAGCATGGAGCCCAACATGGGGCGATCTCACCACCCTGAAATCATGACCTGAGCCGAAGTCAGGTGTCAGATGCTTAACCAACTGAGCCACCCAGGTGTCCCCCTAAGTTCAAGTTCTTATTTAAAACCCCTTCTTTGGGACACCTGGGTGGCTCAGTTGGTTAAGTGTCTGCCTTCGGCTCAGGTCATGATCCCAGGGTCCTAGGATCAAGTCCCTGCTTCTCCCTCTGCCTGCTGCTCTCCCTGCTTGTGCATTCTCTGACAAATAAATAAAATCTTTTTAAAAAATATTAAAAAATAGGGGCGCCTGGGTGGCTCAGTTGGTTAAGCGACTGCCTTTAGCTTGGGTCATGATCCCAGGGTCCTGGGATCGAGCCCCGCATTGGGCTCCCTGCTCCGCGGGAAGCCTGCTTCTCCCTCTCCCACTCCCCCTGCTTGTGTTACCTCTCTCGTTGTATCTGTCAATTAAATAAAATTAAAAAATAAAACCCCTTCTTTAATCAACCCAGAACTCCAAACAAAATGTCCATTAAACAAAAGTTGTATCTTTGCCTCATCTCTACTTCTCTTCCTGGGATTCCTTTTTTTTTTTTAAGATTTTATTTATTTGACACAGAGAGACACAGCGAGAGCAGGAACACAAGCAGGGGGAGTGGGAGAGGGAGAAGCAGGCTTCCCGTGGAGCAGGGAGCCGGATGCGGGGCTCAATCCCAGGACCCTGGGATCATGACCTGAGCCGAAGGCAGACGCCCAACAACTGAGCCACCCAGGCACCCCTGGGATTCCTATTTAGGTGAATTCACATATTCATTCAACAACAACAAAAAGTGAAGCTTCTCTGGAAACTTACCAACACAAAACTATCTCATTAGAACACCTCCCAACCCAGGGCACAAGTAGGACACCAACTTAAGATAGGCTCATAAAATAAACTTACAGTACGAACCATGAGAGACGATGGACTCTGAAAAACAAACTGAGGGTTCTAGAGGGGAGGGGGGTGGGAGGATGGGTTGGCCTGGTGGTGGGTATTGAGGAGGGCACGTTCTGCATGGAGCACTGGGTGTTGTGCACGAACAATGAATCATGGAACACTTCATCTAGAACTAATGATGTAATGTATGGGGATTAACATAAGAATAAAAAATAAAATAAAATAAACTTACAGTACCCAATACTATTAGAGTAAGTCAACAAACACAATAAGGCAAGAAATAAAAACCTAACCCACAGAAAATAAAACAATCTGTTAAAAGATTTCAAAAATCTATGCATAAAATGTTGAGGGGGTTAATGGGACAAACAGAATCTATGAAAATAGAGCTAAAAAAGAATCAAAGAGAAAATATAGTACTGAATAAACTCAAAACACAAGTTAAACAGTAAGCAAGAGATAACTGAAAAGGAAATTAATGAAGTAGAAGAGAGAGATTCATCACAGAGATAAAGAGAGAAGGAACTACAAAAGAAAAGAAAACTGAAGAACTGAATGAGAAACTCCAGTATTTGTTACAGAATTCAGCACAGAGATAGAGAAAAGGGGAACTACAAAAAGAAAAGAAAGCTAAAGAACTGAATGAGAAACTCTGGTATTCATCAAATAGAAGTTCTAGAAGTTCATGAAGGAAATGAGGTACAGATGCTATTTAAAGAAGATAATGGCTAAGAGTTTCAGAACTGAAGAAATGAGCTCTCAGACTGCAATTCAAGTCCTGAGCAGGATAAATAAAAATAAACCCACAACTAAACATAGTAAAGATGGAGGAAAAACTCTTAATAACTGCTAGTTATTGTAAGACAATCAGACTGACAGCAGACCTCATTAGTAAAAAA